AGCTTTCCTGCTCCTCTGATGCTGCTTGGCCTGCTGTGTTCATCCAGCTCTAGACTTTGTTATCTCAGATTCTCCAGCATCGGCAGTTCCTACGATCTCGGTATAAACCAGAGTATGCATTAACTGCTGGCTGTATATTGACACGAGTAGTACTGAGAGCAATGGTATAGAGTTAACACCCTTGGTAAAGTCATGATGCCACTTGCAGTTTAATATTTGGATTTGGAAATTTGAGCCTTAATGTTTTTCAACAAATTATTTTATTGCTGAAACATGTCAAAAGAATGTAATTTTCCACATTGTATGGATTGAGTGCTCCTCATCTTTGACTAAAATTGAAACCGTGGAAGAAAACTAATCTTGTAGGAAACTTCTACCTGTTGAAGCATCAGAGATGCCGACATGCCACAGTTCTTGGATGATAAATTCCCATGACTCTTGAGCAACATTAACCTGAAGCAAAATGCAGGTCCAAAAGTTTTGGAGATGGAAGTTACCATAATCAGATCACATAGCATCTGCTAATAGCCAAACCAATCCCAAATTGATGGTGCCCTTTGAGGATTATCTCATTTTCAGGTGCAGTATTTGAGATCAAAGTGGTTCACCTGCATACCAGGGAAAATGGTGTTCACACAATGAAGAGAATTTTGAACATACATTGAAATAAAACAGTTTTCTTGAACCCTTTAAGTACTAAAGATCCTTTGTGGGTTTTAATGCATGCTTTCCATCACATGACATCTATAGAAATGGTTCTCTGTACCTTTCCAATTCTGAATATTTCAACATAGTAAGTACAATTCTGATTATTCTCTGAATAAATGGATTACATGATTACTCAAATAACAGGTTTTGTATTATTTTGAACACAATGTTACTTGTTACAGCCCTCAAAGAGTTATTATTACACAGTTTGTGATTCATTGTCATAAAGGGAAATGTGGATGAATAATTGGGTTCAAATTTTCTCCAGATAAGAAGCCAGTGAACTCAGCTGCCACCTTCATTGCAAATCATGGAGCCTTGCCATCCATTTTATCTCCTCATTGGCCACTGCCTCAGATTGATTTAAACTGTTTGTAACCTCTGGATCCTAAACAACGCTGACCACCATTTTCCATTAACGTAACGTGGCTTGCATCCAATCTACACCCTGTACTTGCGAACTTTAATCTTCTTATCTTTGGGTTAAGAATTTCCATCCTTGTGTTTAAATCCTTCCACAACCTTGCTGCTCACTATCTCTCCAACCTCTTCCAACCCTGAATCTGCCACATTCTATTGTGCAGAATTCATAATTATGAGACCAAGAGACTGGATGAGAGGGAACCAGAACATACAGATGTAACCTGTTGAAGTAGGATTTACCTTACAAGGACTAATTGATAAATATGTCAATGAAGTTGATAGTAAACTGAGTTAGCAAAGAACAAAAATTGAGGAAGTATGAGAGCATGTCAAAGAAAGATAAGGATGAAGCATGACCTCTTATGCATGAACCTATCATTGGCAACTGTACCTCCTGTCACCTAACTCACTTATTTCAGTTTGCCCCTTTTGGCAGCAACATCTCCCTCTCCTCCAAGACTCTCTTTCAAATGAAATTTTAATGAAGCTTTAAGATGCTCTTCTTAAAATCTTTACATTTGCCACATCATCTATCCTTAAAAAAAAATCATATTACTGTTCCCTTGTTAGAAAATGTTTATAATTTTAAGTTGCTCACCCACATTTAGATTTTGAGGTGACAGTACTGTGAAGGGGTTGAGCTCTCAAATACACCCTAACTTTTGGATGAATTGCTGGCATTTTTCTATGATATTTTTTAAAAATCAACATAATTTTCATCTTGTCAGCTTGCATGAATCCTTGTGTTAACTAAAGCAAGCCAGATAATTTGAATTCATTTCACTTATGTTCCAAATATTGATTTGTTTATCACTGTCTCCAGCTTAAAACTTTCAACTTCAACAAGAAATTGTTGGCCTTTTGGAAAGAGTGTGAGCGTTCAGCAATTTATGCATTGTAGCATTTCTCAGTGAAATCAACTTTTGAAGATACCTGATTTCACATTCAACTTTTAAAGTGAGAACTTATTGAATAATTTACCCTTAATTTCTAAATTCCAATAAGTAAAATAGAATGCAATTTGTCAGCTGTTATTACAGTATTTAATGCTGGTTTAAGGCTTTTCATGTGAGCATGAATATTGGCTTCAGTGACACCAAATGTGAACCAGAAGCTTTTTTAAAAAAATCCTCAAGCATTCCTGATGACATGATAGTCTCACAATCAGTACAACTTTTCACAGTCATAGATTGATATATTGGAGGAAAACACTCAGTACATTGTGCCTACATTGGCTCTTTGGAAGACCTATCTAATTAATTCAACTCTGCTTCTTATTGTCCATGTTTTTTTTCTTTATCATGTATTTATTGAATTCTCTTTTGAAGATTATTATGGAATCTGTTCTCATCATCTTTAAAGGAGTTCATCACAAATCTTTGTTGTGGAAAAACCCATTTCCTTCTGTATTTGTACTTATTTGCCAATGGCCTTAAATTTGTTTCGTCTGGTTAAGGAGCTTTTGGCTAGGGATAGCAGCTTCTCCTGGTGTACTGTATCAAAACACTTAAAGATTTTGAAGTCATCAATCAAATTTTCCTTTGACCTTTCTGCTGAGGAAAACAACTTGTTTTTATTTCGTTTCTCCACGTAACTGAAGTCTTTTGTTCCTGTTTTGTAGTAAATCCCCTCTAGTTCCAATCGAAAGCTTTGACATCATTTCTAAATTGTAATGTCCAGAACCTTCAAAATTATGTGTTTGTCCATCTCCAGGTCATTTCCTTTTTGTTCCCCACTAAAATCCTTCCATTCAGTTTATGTGGTTCAAGCTGTAGGTGGTGGGACATTTCTTCAGGTTGCTATGTGGGGACTCTGCCATCTTCCCTCATCCACATTGATTAAATCCGTGACCCATGGGTGGCATCCCCACCCTGCTGCCAATTATGGCCCCGTCAGTGGTGAGAGTGGGGT